AAAGCACAAGCTTGGTGTAGCTCCCTATTCCTTCACAGCTAACAGGTAAACTCAGTGGTTAGAAATGCCTGTTGTCAAGCATTTCTTCTTTTAATTTCACATTTGAAAAGAGCTGCATTGGAAAGCAATGCGTGCAAGTAATCTCATTCAATAATTTTTGAGGCCCATTCAAATAATAAAATTTTATACGATTTTCTGAAACTCTGAAGTTTCCTAAACTACAGCAAGAACTAGTGTTGAAATTCTCGTTTTTAAGCAGGGCATTGCCTTCAGCTTGAAAAAAGGGAAAAGTAGGTACAACTATTCTTTTAGTTGGGAATGATGGTTTCCCCCGCACCCCCACCCCACCATCACCAGCAGCAGCAGTATCTCCAACAATCATAAGAAGATCAATGTACTAGGTGATAAAAAGCTATCTGGTGAAATCTTTTCATCAATGAAACGTTGGGGAAACCTTCAAAGAGCACTCACTTGAAGTTCTCTGGTTTTTACAACAAATTAAGCAGTTCGAATTAAGCAGTTCGTGGAAGAGGAAGAGGTATTCGGCAAGAAGCAAGTTCTTTAAAAGAGAATCTTAAATAGATAAGCTGTTCTACACTACTGAAGCAGCTAGAAAGAAAACCGTGGAATACAAGTTGAATTTTCAAATCTTGTATTTCTTTCGCCCAGACTCCTAACCTGCTTTAATACTGTTTCCAGGGGAGGCACATTTAGCATTTTCATATCCCAAAACATTAGGTGTAAACATCCCGAATCTGAAATTACCAAAAAGAAGCGGATCTAAAGCAGTCTCCATGTTGCTTTTCCTTTGGTGTTGCTTTAAACCTGAAAAACTCAGCTGCATTTGTGCCGAGCGTGTGAAAATAATACAGGAATCAAAGTAGACGGTCCAGAAGCTTAAGTAGGCACTTGCCACTTACTTGGGAGGTGGGGAGTAGTAAACTACTGTTCCTAAATTGCTAGGCCACTCTAGTTTTAAAAAGGAAATAACCAAACAGGGTGGCTCTGGATTGGGAAGGTTTGCAAGGTCCGGAGCTTGCCGGGCTCCGCAGGGCGCAAGTCTGTTCAGAAGTCAGCGATTTTCTATACCTAAGCAAGGGACACCTTCTCTTCCCTACCTTTCCAAATAAATAGACCCTAGTATCAAGAATGCCCGCAGAGAGAGGCAGACCCTCTGTAATCCCGACACACAGAGAGAGAGTTGCGGGCAGCCAGCCGCCCCTGGTCTGGCTGTGTTCAACTAACTCAGAGGCCAGAAACAGAGCGCACGCCGTCGTCCACCCGGAGGCTGGGTGGAGAGAAGCACAAACCAACTCGCGCCTCCAAGCTCCGGCGACAGGGTGCGGGTCTGTACGCTACTCTAGTTCCCAAATCGTTCAGGCTGCATGGGGAACGAAGAGTTCCCCGCCAGGTACCGCCGGCCACCACGTCCGTGCTCCTTCCTTCTCCTACCAGGAAAACTTTGGAAGCGATGCACTGGGAGGTCCGGACCCGCAGCCTGGCAGAGCGTGTCAGGCGCGGTCACCCCAACCCGCCTCCCTGGCCGGCGCCCTCCAGCGCCCGCGCCCCGGGACGCAGCGCGCCTGCCCCGGCTACGTACGGTTGTTGGGGTCGCTGGTGTGCTGGTTCAGAGGGATGATCTCCATGCGCTGCTGCCCGTACAGGTAATAGTCCAGCTCCTCCGCGCTGCAGCGAAAGCGCGGGGCGCCCCGGCCGTCCCCCCTTATATAACACATCATTTGACTTTAGAGAAGGAACAAGCGACAGCTAAGTATTCGCAGCTTCAGGGTAAAGTCTACTTCACTCACAGATTCCACTGATCGGAGTTAGGTAGCGGACAGCTATTGGGGAAGCTCCCCCAGCTACTGGTCTCCTTCTGCTGTTTTAAACCTTTTGCATTTTTGTGTGAAAGAGAGCTATAAGCCTCTTCATTCTGGCATTTGCCATAGATACCAACAAAGTTTCTAGGTGATAAGAGGGTTTCTGGTTCCTTTGGCGGGTTTTTTTTTTCTTTAACAGAGTAATGACATCATGAATTGCTGGTCACAGACAAAATGTGCTCACCTATGGAAAAGACGCTTTTCTTTGCCTTGTAAGAAAAGGGGAAGTTATTTAATTCTCCCTTTTAAAATATAATGTAACAAGATGAAGCAATACTGAGAGAACCTGGCAGAATTTTTTCAGCCACTACTCACTCACAAAGGATGAAAGGGAAAACTGGGAAAATCAATGCATAGTAAATTAATAGGTGCCTCTCCCCATTCCACTCCTCCTCAGTCAGTATCAAACCCCCCCCCATGAGGAAACACTTCTATTTTCAAGGTCTTTCAAGTAAAAGCATACCAACTTCCCCAGCAAAGAGAGGGAGAAAGTTTCTCAACCTTTGCATTTCTGGTTGGCTTTGAACACTTATTTGGATTAATCTCAATCACTTTTCATCTAATCTTTGCAAATCACTTGCCCTGGTTTCAAATGTGTGCTTCTAGTTTGGGGTTGCTAGAGAAACTCCTAAAACAAGAAGAGACATCATCTCTCAGCATTATCGGGCTACCTCAGCTTTTCAATTTCTT